TGTGACCTTGGAGTAGGGAAGGATTTCTTTTAAAACTGCAAATACCACTAACCATAAAGGAAAGGATTAATGAAACATTTTACTCTATTAAAATTAAAGACTTTCATCAGAAGACACCACAAAGACTGTGAAACTTCAAACTACAGAGTGGGAGAACATATTTGCAACACATATAACCGATAACAGTCTCATATTCAGAATTTATAAAGATGTCCAACAAACCAAAAGACTTGAGCTGGTACTTTACAAAAAGAGAAATCTAGATGGCTAATAAACATATGAAAAGCTGTTGTACCTCATTGATAATCAGGGAAATGAAAATCACAATGAAATGCCACTGTATAAAAATCTTTAAAACATAATAAATATTAAAACATCTCAATAACAAGTATTAGCAAGGATATGAAGCCACAAGAACTCTTTGTACATTGCTGGTAAATGTGTAAATTGGTACAACCTCTTTGGAAAACAATTTGGCATGCTCTTTTGAAGTTGATGATACATAAATCTTATTACACAGCATTTTCTCTCCTAGTTCAGTGTGTAATCGAAATGTTCATCAGTAGTAGAATGAGTAAATAAATTGTAGCACGTTCATATAGAATAGCATGAAGACAGTGAAAATAAAGGAACTACTGCAGTATGCAACTACATGAATGAATCTCAAATGTTGAGAGAAGGTCACAAAAGAAAACACATAAAGTATGCTTCTACTTTTAGAAAGTTGAGAGGTGTGCTAGGCAGAATTATGTTCCCCCCACCTTAGGATGTAGGGTGTAGGGATTAGTCTACATCCTAATCCCTATAACCTATGAATATGTTGCACTACATGGCAAAGGGGAATTAAGGTTGCTCATCAGCTGTTCTTCAAATAGGAAGATTATCGTTGATTATTTGGGAGCAGGGAGAGATAGGCAAATCAAAGGATCCTTAAAAGTGGAAGAAGGAGGCAGAAGAGGGAGACCCACAGAGATGGCAGCATCAGAAGGACTCCACCTGATATTGTTGACTTGAAGATGGAGGAATGGGGCTATGAGCCAAAGAATGTGGACAGACTCTAGAAGCTGGGAAAAAGAAGAAGACAGATTTTCTCCTAGAAGCTCCAGAAAGAATGAAGTTCTGCTGACACTTTTTTTAAAATAAATTTATTTATTTTATTTTATTATTTATTTTTGGCCTCATTGGATGTTCGTTGCTGTGTGTGGGCTTTCTCTAGTTGTGGCGAGTGGGGGCTACTCTTCATTGCGGTGCATAGGCTTGTCATTGCGGTGGCTTCTCTTGTGGAGCACGGGCTCTAGGCGCCTGGGCTTCAGTAGTTCTGGCACACAGGCTCAGTAGTTGTGGTGCACAGGCTCAGTAGTTGTGGCGCACAGGCTCAGTAGTTGTGGCGCACAGGCTTAGTTGCTCCTTGGCATGTGGGATCTTCCCAGACCAGAGATCAAACCCGTGTCCCGTGCATTGGCAAGCAGATTCTCAACCACTGTGCCACCAGGGAAGTCCCTAAGGAGCAGTTTGTAATTGAAATTAATTTCTTTCATTTCTTCAGTTTTTAAAATCATACTAACAAAATTTAAATAGGAATTTATAAAATAATTTTTGTTGTATTTTGTATTAAATAAGTTATTTACCATGTGATTCTGTAGGAATTTTTTTTTTTTTAAGGGAGGGCAGCAAGCGTGGGTGACAGTTTACAGCTGCATCTTTTTTTTTTAAGCAGAGGTCTTCTTAGAAGCCCATATGATTTAAATTTATTTATTTATTTATTTACGGCTGTGTTGGGTCTTCATTTCTGTGCGACGGCTTTCTTTAGTTGTGGCAAGCAGGGGCCACTCTTCATTGCGGTGCACGGGCATCTTACTATCGCGGCCTCTCTTGTTGCGGAGCACAGGCTCCAGACGCGCAGGCTCAGTAATTGTGGCTCACGGGCCCAGTTGCTCTGCAGCATGTGGGATCTTCCCAGACCAGGGCTCAAACCCGTGTCCCCTGCATTGGCAGGCAGATTCTCAACCACTGCGCCACCAGAGAAGCCCTGTAGGAAATTTTTATTTGTAAATATTTGATGCCCTCTGTTACCTGGGCTTTAACTTTTTCCTAATGAATACAATATGGGGAGGCATTTTGGTAAGATGGTGGTCTTTCCCAACTTCAATTACTAACTACTACTTCAGAGTGAAGCAACTTGGAGGCTCACAGGCTGGTGGGACCTGTAGGGAATATGTGAGTCTGGGGGATATACTGGGATCCAAATGAAAATAAGAGACAAAAACCTATGGCAGTTATCAAAACTTTTGAGTTCTCAGGAAGAACTGTGCCCCAGAGGGGAAGCTTAGTTCCAGTGCATCATGGAGCTTGCTTCCACTGTTTTGATGTTGAATGCCATTCATGGTACTCTAGCAGCTTGATCTGAGCTCCAAAGATGAGGCAAGCCATGAATTGGCAAAGGAAGATAATTCATTTAAAGGAACTCCAGCAGCCAGAGAGGATGAACATGGATTACATCTAGAAGAAGTGACTTCAATGAAATAGAACTATTCGAAGAGATAGATGACAAGTTTAACAAATAAAACAAAACAGAATGTTCCAGTAATCCCGCTCCTGGGCATATATCCAGAGAAAACTCTAATTCGAAAAGATACATGCATGCACTCCAGCGTGCATAGCAACACTATTTATAATAGCCAAGACATGGAAGCAACATAAATGTCTATTGACAGATGACTGGATAAAGATGTGGTGTGTGTGTATGTATGTATGTGTGTGTGTGTGCACACACACGCACACACACACACAGTGGGATATTACTCAGCCATAAAAAAGAATGAAATAATGCCATTGCAACAACATGGATGGTCCTAGAGATTATCATACTAAGTGAAGTAAGACAGAGAAAGACAAATATCATATGATATCACTTATATGTGGAATCTAAAAAAGTGATACAAATGAACTTGCTTACAAAACAGAAACAGACTCACAAACGTAGAAAACAAACTTATGGTTACCGAAGGAGAAAGGGGAGGGAAGGGATAAATTAGGAGTTTGAGATTAGCAGATACGAACAGCAAGGTCTTACTATATAGCACAGGGAACTATATTCAATATCCTGTAACAAACTCTAACGGAAAAGAATCTGAAAATATATATATATATCAAGTTTTATGAATCACTTTTCTATTCACCAGAAACTAACACAGCATTGTAAATCAACTATGCTTCAATTAAAACAAAACAAAACAAAACTAAATTATCCTGAGATTCTCAAGAGAAACAGGGTGACATGCTTCTAATCATAGCATGAAAGAATTAAAAAGTGAGGGGAAAAACTTTTCTATATATTAATTTAAGGAGAGAATGATTACTGTTGAGACTCAGATTCGTGGCTTGGAACATTAAGTGGAAGAGTATATCAAAACAGAAAAAAAATATAAAGAAGGAGAAGGAGCAAATGGAGGAGATGCAACAACTAAAGGTATAATAGAGGAGAATTTCTCTGGTTTAAAGAAGGATTGAAAGAACCAACTGAGTTCTGGACCAGAGTGTTAATTTAAGGGTGGAGGGAGACAAAGAACAAGCTGCTTACAAAGGAAAAATAATCAGATATGTGCTGGACTACTCAGTGTGACACTGGAAACTAGAAGATAGTAAAATAACGTCTACAGATTACCAAGAAAAGAATTGTCTATATATACCTAGCTGAAATATCATTCACTTGTTATGGTGAAAGCAAGGTACTTGCAGATGTGCAGGAATTCAGATCCTCCATCTAGGGAAAGTTAAAGGATTCTCACCAAATAATTCTCAACAGAGAATTTAAGAGGCAGAAGAAGAGAGAAAACGGTAGAGATCAAATGAATCTCACAGTGTATTTAATTAAATCTAAATGGTTAATGATAGAGTGACTGTATTTCAGCATACATCTTTGTCCTCTTCATTTTCTGAAAGTTTGCAGCTGATGGAAAAGCTTGATTTGACTCAGGTTCTGTCCCTTTGGCAAGACCATAAATGATGTTCTGTTCTTCTAATGGGGGACATATACTTTCTGATTATCTTTTTGTAAAGATAACATCATTAATACTCAATCCTGGATCCATTAATTCATTGAGAGTTGCAAAATGCTATATTCTAGCATTATTTTTCATTTATAGCTAGAACACTTATATAAAGATGCTTCCCTTTATCTATTTGGTTACTCAGTGATACAGTTCACATAGGGAAGGCAAGGTAAATGTTTGCTTCCCCCCCCTCTTTATCAGCTTACAAGGTAATTAATTGGTTCTTTATCATCTTTTGGGGAGGATAAATTCAGTAATATGTGATAGATTTCAATTCGCTGCAATTATTATTATTGTTTTTCGCTGCAATTATTATCTTTATTGAAGCTCAGATTATCTCATCTTTAGCCAGTGGGAGCAAAGATGGTTCCTGAGTCCTTTTGACATGACAGTGATACTTTTTTGTTTTTGCGGTACGCGGGCCTCTCACTGTTGCGGCCTCTCCCGTTGCGGAGCACAGGCTCCGGACGCGCAGGCTCAGCGGCCATGGCTCACGGGCCTAGCTGCTCCGTAAAGAAAGGGACAATATTTTTTTTTGTTTCGTTTTGCTTCGCTTTTCTGAAAACCTTAGAATGTTGTCTGAGCTTTTGGGAAGGTGGATTTTACGGATCCATTTGTTTTCTAGGATATTTGGTACTTAGCATGATCTGTGATGTAATTTTTAAGCTGGTATTCCTTGCAATTTATGTTACTTGCAAAGAATAATGGTTTTATTTTTTAGTATGTGTAGAGACCCAAAAGGAATCAGCGTTTCCCAGCAACAGGTATAGAGGCATATGTTAAAATGGTTTATTCAATCATTCAATATTTGAATATTTAATCTGGACCAGTCTCCACAATAGGAGCTCTAGGAAATTCAAACAATTATGAAACCTGCTTTTTTATTTAAAATTTCAGTAAAATAAGTTCCAAGGATTGATTTTAAACTTAATTTATTTTTTCTTTCAGATCTGTCACGAAATCGCCTCTCAGAAATTCCCATAGAAGCATGTCACTTCGTTTCTCTTGAGAATCTCAATTTATACCAAAATTGTATTCGGTATATACCAGAGGCAATTCTAAACTTGCAAGCTCTAACGTTCTTAAATATTAGGTAAGGATTTTTTCTTTTTAATTTTTAGTTTTGTGTGATCTTTTCAATTTTCCTCTTCCCTTTCACTAAAATTTACATTATCTGGGGAATTCCGTGGCGGTCCAGTGGTTAGGACTCCATGCTTCCACTGCAGAGGGCACGGGTTCAATCCCTGGTTGGGAAACTAAGATCCCACATGCCATGCGGCCAAAAAATAAAAATAATAATTAAAAAAAAATTTATATTGTCTGTTTATATCAGCAGTATCTCGACATATTCTTAGACTAAATTAGCAGTATTTTCTATATCCCTCTAGTTTCTCCCTTTGTCTTTGTGTTTGTAATAATTAACAAACTCTAAGAGACATTAGTCTAATAGACTTGGAGCAGTCTCGTAGCAGTGGTTTTCCGATTACATTTTCAAGTAAGCTTCATCAAATGAGAATAGTACATCTGAAATTACTTTGGTTTTTGTGATTATGTATTTTTGTGTACTAAGTTCTGAATATATAAATGCATTTATTCAACTCACCTACTCCATTTTTTCACATCTTACAAAAATTCTTTTGTTATTTTATTTCATTATAAAAGTTATAAATGTTGACTGGAGAAGATAAACAAATGTAGAAAAGTAAAGGAAATTCATCAAAATGTTGTGTCTGAGTTATATAATTATAGGTGAACTTTTACTTTTTTGTAGGCTTTTAGTCAAATTTTTAAATGAGTTTTTCCCCTTCTCATTAAATATCCTTTGGAAATATTTTTATATGTAATCATTTTAATGTACAGTTTATATGTTTCTGAAACTCATTTTCCCTCTCGGATATTTATTCTCTCAGTTTTTTCCCATGATCAAAGTAGCACTAGTAGACAGTTTTGTATGTGAATGTCTAATTATTAGATTTTAAAAGTTTTAAAGGCTTATGATCTGTGTTAGTAAAATCATCAAAGATCTTGAAAACGGGGGGCAATTGTTACTAAGGATTAAGATGTTAAATCTGCATAAGTAAAATTTTAACTTATTTTTATCCTAATGATAGATGTGTTTTTTACTTTCAGTTCTGATTTGTATATTTTTGTATAAATAAAAATTCCTTACCTATCCTTCAGTTAATATGATATATTTGAAATCACAATCTGTCCCTTATTTCCCATAGAATTATATTTGGGTCGTTTATGTACATTTGGTTATAATAATGTAATGATGAGGGAAGTAAATTACAGACACTTTGTATATAACTCTTTGGAAGGAAGAGGAGAGGATGTTAGTTATCTACCCTATTTTAAAATCATTTTTTCCTATATAAATTTAATAAAATAATAATATGTTTTGTTTATATGGCACTTCATTATTTACAAAGGAGTTTTGTGGTGCAAGAGTCCTGTAAGCCCTGTGATTTACAGCTGAGGAATCTGTGTAGGATGCAGATAAATTAAATGCTGTGCCTAAAAACACAAAAGCTGACAAGTGAGGAAATGAAGACTTGAACTCAAATCTAATATCCTGTTTGTTCCTTGCAAGACTTAACTTTGTTAGTATACTTAGTATAGAATGAGAAAGATGGCAGTTTTTTTCCTTGAGTGGTGGGCTCTGACTTTTCTCTTTTTCTACTTACCCATTTAGTCGAAACCAGCTGTCAACATTGCCAGTACACTTGTGTGATTTACCATTGAAAGTCTTAATTGCTAGTAATAACAAATTGGTCTCACTTCCAGAAGAAATTGGACATCTCAGACATTTAACAGAACTTGTAAGTTAATATTTCATTTTTTGATTGTTTTGTATATATGTGTGTCTGTGTGTGTGTATAT